GCGCCTGCGGGTTAGGCATGGGGCTACGAGATTGGTTCGCGGGAGATCGCGCGGCGGTGGCCTGTTGCTGCTGCTGTTGCTGCTGCATTCTCTGTTGGTGCTGCACGGCATGCGCTTGGGCCTGAGCCTGCTGGAGCATCATTTGGTGCTGATAGTAGTTCATCGCCTGTCCTCCCTGTGCATTCGGAGTGGCAGGTTTCCCGCGCCCTCTCCCCGCGGCGATTTGTGCCATGTATGCTGCGCTTATCTGGGGTGGGTAGGCGCCCGACATACCTGGCTGTTGAGGCACTTGCTGATGCGCGGGGTTCACTGGGGCTGGAGAAGGTTGCGGGGGTCTATGTATGTTTTGTTGTGCCTGGGGGACTGCCTGTATAGGCTGAACAGCGGGAGGTGCCGGGACAACGGACGGTGGCCTTTGCTCCGATGCCGCCGGTGGGCTGCCTGCATGAGCAACAGACGTTGGGCGAGGGGACGGAGCTTGCGCTGGCATCGGTGTCGCGCGACCGCCTTGCTGCTGAGGATAGTGTGGGTGGAGATGCGCAGGTATCGGAAGAGGCGCGCCAGAGGACGCTGTGGGCGCTATCGGCGCGGGGGTAGCAGAAGCTCGAGGGACAAGCGGTGGTTGCGTTCCGTCCGACTTCTTCTTGAGTTGAGCTTTCTTGATGCTCTGGACGGGCATAGGAGGAGATGCTGCCATGACGGGCCCCGGCGCTGGGGAGGACGCGGCCACAGGTGGATGGTATTGTTGTGGGGGTGGGACTGGTGTAGATGAAGAGGGCACGGGGGTAGCCGCTTTTGCGGGGAGATTGGCAGGGCCGGGGGGAACCGCAGCTGTCGGCGCTGCCGCAGGAGGAGCAGTAGGTACAGGCGTCGGGCCTGCGCTTGTGTGAGGCGAGGCAGTCGTCGGAGCAGTTATAGGCATGGTCTGCCCTGACGCTGCAGGCGGATTCGCTTTGATTTGCTTCATGCGTTGTATTGCGTCCAGGATGGAAAATTTTCTGGGTACAATCTTGTCAAGTCCGTTTCGACTTCGCCAATACGGCGTACTCACCCCGGTGGGACATTCCGCTGCGGGGCCATAAACTGCATGAGCTTCAAGCGACGCGCCTTCTCGAAGTCATCCGCCTCTTGATCTAGCGCAGCCGCCTTGCGCTTGAGAGGCAAGGGTACTGGTGGTGTCGACACTCTCTGTGTAGCATTTACGACACGTGCCAGGTGAATATCTGGATCCAAGCACAGGGGAGGGGCTGTGGCCAACTGCGAGACAAATTGATCAGTAACCATCGGTGCCCCAGTCGAGAGGATATGGAGACGAGGACGAGGGACAATCGGCCTTCAAGAACTCAAATAGGCTCTCTGTACAGCGAGTCCTTTGGCAGCAGTTTTAGAAGCTCGGTCAAAAACTTGGAAGTGTTATCTAGATTCTCGACACCTCGCTCCACTATCGAGTGGCTACGAGCTCAGGCTATTCAGACAATTTCTGATGACTCACTAGCAAACGCGCCTCTAGCTCCAGAGTATCAGCATCTGTCCATGTTGAGCCATTCCTCAGGTTCATCAAGCATATATCCTGCCACCGAGACTCGTCAGTGGGTGTCAAGACGACGCGTGTCTTCTCGGGCTGCTCAAGGTCGGGATCGCTACTCTTCGGTGGTCTATAGTCCAGCAATTCCACTATGAGACAACCTGTCAGGCAGTCAGTATATTCATATGTCAGTCCAACCATGAGTGAGTCGCATCACCTTCGTAGAATGGTAGCTTAGCGGCATCGAACAGCTCTAAGAAATCTACGGGTATATGCTGGCTGCGGATATCGTCCAATAGCGACTGTACGAACCATGAGCGACAACACTTGCATAAGGCATGGTAGCTATGTTTCCTCACCGCAATTTGATTATTGTACAGGAATTTGGACCCGTTGTTCAGTACCCAGTGTTCGCGGTAGAGTCGCACCGTGAATGATGGTGGTGAGTTCTCATGGTCCTTGAGGAGACCCTGAACAAAGCGACTGGTGTTGTACAGCGCCATATGTCAATGCACACCTACTTATAGAACCTTGTTCAGAGACCGCGGCGAGACCTCTTAGGTCTCGAGGAATGTACGCCAAGAGACGGAGGGTGAGGTCATGGACGAGTGGCCGTCCGCAAGTACTGAGACAACGCGTGTATTACGTAAACCAGTGCTGCAGCGTTTGAGATAAAGTGACATTGTCCGTGGGAAACCCATCTGCACACTCCAAAATGTCCGACGCTGACCAGCTGAGAGAGGTCAGTATTCTAGAGTCGAGATTCACCAATAAGTCTGACAGAGCTGTGCAGCTTACCCAATTCCTGCGGGATAAGAATCCAAGCGTGCGCCAGATTGCGCTCGCAAACCTCCTGACCCAGACGCCCAAAGGATCTCCTCATCGAGATCTTTTCTACTCAGGTTTGCAGACGGGTGGTCTGCAAGAAAAGCACGAAAATGATATCATAAGAGACATCAAAATATTGTGTAGAGACCAGCTGGTAAGAGTTGATGAGAGATCTAAAGCTGTGTTCTCACGTACAGTCACAGTTGACGGCGCACGACGCATTCCGGGCTCTGGTCAATCTGTCAGAAAACTCCCTGCTCATCAATACACTATCTGATCCTGCCTTCCTGAATTTTGTTGTCTCATACATCCTTGTGAGGTGTACTGTCTGCCCAAATCTCAAATACTCACGCGCCTTCTCCAGAACTTCCAAGCCACCCTCGCGGATCTTGCGTCAATGCTACTGTCGAACGTGACCGCCCACGGGGGCGCATGTAATGTGCTTCTGTCACTGAAGGTTTCAGTACTTCCCGATCCGAAGTCACCGATCAAGGTCTTTCCTGTCGATTCTCGTTCCATGACCTGCCCAGCGCCCGTGCCATATCCATCGAGCGAGCCGAAGGAGGTTCTCGCCCTGCCTCTGCTTGTCGACGCCTTTGTCAAGGCTGCCAGTGTAACCGAAGAGCGAGAAAAACGCCTCTTCAAGGGCGACCTGCACTTCCTAGCGAGCGTGTTTGCAAACATCAGCACGGTACGTGCAATAGACAAACGGGTCAACACGGCCGTCCTGACGCTCCGTCAGGTTCCAGTAGGACGTGCATTCTTCCTCACACCAAGATCGATTGATCCATTGAACGAGGACGCTGATCTGGAGTATCCCTTGTCCAAGATCGTTGCCTTCACGGAACACAAGGATACGATCAGACGCGGTGGCGTTGCATCCACAATCAAGTTTGTGAACTTGAGATCTGCGATCGAGCTACAGGCTTACACAACTGATTTGTAGAAACTGCGCTTTCCAGACATCGGCTCATCGCGCCCTCCTGACGGAGGACACCGACAAGGTTGTGGTACCTCCTTCAACAGTAGAGGCCCCTGGCATTAATGTCCTGCCCTACGTGCTTCTCCCGCTCGCCGGTCCGGAAGAGTTTGATCTCGAAGTACGCCCTTTCCAAATCCGATGCCATCTTTATCGCTCGATATCCTGACACGGCAATCACAGGATCAAGAGAAGCTCCCCCCCGCGCTACAATTCCTTCCACCGACCAAGGTGCGCGAACCAGACCCCGTCCTTCGGCAGACACATGTAGAAACCCTTCTATTGCTCTGCACGACACATTGGGGACGCGAATACCTACGGAATCACGGTGTATACGAGATTGTCAGGGCCCTGCATGAAAACGAAGAGGTTGTAGTAGTGAGTACGAATACCTCCTCATCTTCTGACTGCACTGCTGATCGTTCTGTTCAGGTCGCAGAGCACGTGTTACGTCTCGTCAATCTGCTCAAGCGAGAGGAGGGCGATGATACCGTCCACGATGGGGCTGACGTCCTCGCACCCTCAACCCAAGAGGTATCTGATGACGAAGATACCAAGATAGAAGAGCTCTAACTGTACGAAGCTGTACAACGACGTCCAAATGTAGCTCATACCTTAGCCCTGCCAATGTATCGGTATTAGACTTGTATGAATCGCGCAGATCTCAAGCCCGTTGGGCTCAGCCAGAGAGGCTTGATCGAGTTTATATGAATTCCGAGCAGTATGATACATTAGCAAGGTGTGTATGAAAATAAAGTACCAGTACGCTAGTATACTGGGATTGTGTGGCTGGCCGGCCGGTACGCCCTTAGGACAGCACACGCAGCTGCATAATAGGAATAAATAGCACACATTAGTTATCGTAGGACTGATAGAAGTAGTTTGGCGGACTGTCAGGGCGTGGCTGCGAGTCATCCGAGTTGAGCAGCCAGCCGAACGAGTCGGTACGCCCCTGCTCGCCATATACAGAACTGCGAGGTTCCTTAGGCTCTGCAGGAATAGGTGATGAGACGGGCAAGGGCCGCGACTCTTCGTCATCGCTCGAGTTGGTGTTGCCGACTCGCAAGCTGGAGTGCCATTCGTCGGGCCTCGTCGAGGTCGATGCGGTTGGCCTGCGAAGCAAAATCAGTAAATCTTGGAAACAAGGCAGCCACCTGTACCACACACCGCTCACCGGACTGCTGGCTCCCGCTCCCGCACCCGACGCTCCTTCATGACGTCCAGAGGGCGCCTCGACTGAGGAGCTCCACCAGCTCCGTTCGCCTCGGCAGACTCAGGCGATAGGCCAGACAAAGGGACAGCAGCCAATTGCAAGGTGTCAGATCTCCTCGGCTTCGCCCTGGGCGTGACCCCGACGGTGATCTCAATTCCCGCTTTCGTGATCTGTAGGCCGCCTTTGTGGCTGAACGAGACGAACGCGGTATCGCGGGTCGCCGAGCTAGCAAGGACGCTGCCCAAATCGGGATCTGGGCGTTGCCCCTCCCCGCCGCATCGCGAACTCGTTGAGGAAACAGAACGTGATACTGGCCGCGGGCGAGGCTTCGATTTTGGCTTGGGTGTCGCCTCAACCTCATCTGTCCCCGACGGACCATCATCCGGATGCATTTCAACGTCTCCTCTCTTCGCGCTAGCCGTTCTCGTCACCTTCTTCCGCCGTTTCGACGGGGCTCCCGCATCGGAGTCGCCAGTGTCGCTGGTGAGTGCGATCACATCTTCATCAAGCTGCCTGCTAGTCGAGGGAGCACGGGACGAGGCCCTACTGGGAGCCTTCCGCTTCGCCTTGGACCCACCGGGCGGAGGCGACCGGTGTCCGACGGATTCGACGTCCGTTTGTGCCCCTGAAGGAGCCTTGCCCCTCGCGCGAGGACGGGGGCGGGGCTTCGGTCGCTGTGCCCGCTCCTTACGCGCCTCCTCTGCCTCCATCCGCTCCTCCTCCTCGAGCTCCTTCCGCCGCACCCGCGCCCGCTCCATGAACATCTGCTCGCCCGCACCGACTACCAACTGCCCTCCACCCTTCGCGCTCGAATTGTTACTGCCTGCCTCGCCTTCGCCCTCGTCCACGGGGAACATCGCCACGCCGTACTCGACGCTCTCACGGAGCGTCTCAATCGCCTGGTCTCTCGGCAAAGACAGGTCCTCCATAATTAGACGCATCGCAGCCTCCGGAACGAGGACGAGGGAGATGAAGTCAGAAGGGGTAAGCGGGAGCGTCGCGTCCGGATGGAAGTCCGCGGGCGGGAACAAATCGCAGAGTGTCTGGTGGATGATGACATACCCCAGTTCTCCATAACTGCGCATGCGACCTCAGCATTAGTACCCATCTCTCAACTAGTGCACGCCATAGTAAGTGCTATCAAAAGAATGCTACGCACTATCCCGGCTGTGTCTTGTTGAAGTGCAAAAACTGCCCGCGCACACCCGCGGTCTGCCGTGAGCCCTGCTGCCGCACGTTCTTGACGACCTCCATCCAGAACTCGTTCTCCTTTCTCGGCCGCCGGCTGCCTCCCCTCCACGTACGAGAGGCCTCGGCCGCAAACTCCCCATCGACGTCGTCCACGATCGCCTGAAGGTGTCCGCGGAGCCGGGAGATCCTTCCCGACAACGCATCCCAGTCAATTGTCGTCGGCCAGCCTCGCTTGCGTGCGCGGGGAATCCAGTTGCGCTCGAAGCGATGCCGCTGGCACACGCCGACGAAAGCCGCGAGGGGGGCGCGCAGGCCGAGGGGGTTGGTCAACCGGTCGTCCGGATACGACACGTGCTTCGCAGCGGCCATGAGTGCGCGCAGGTGCGGTGTTGGGTCCGAAGGAAGGGGCTCGTCGCACCACGGGCAGAGCGTCTTAGGATCAACGGCTGGGTTTAGGAACACTGGAGGGAGAAAAGGGAAAAGACGGCCGTGGTGCTCAGTATATTGACTATATGCATGAAGTTGTGAGCCTGCATATACGCACTTTCGTCGTCGGAACCCCAGTCAACATCCAGCGAGATCTTCTCGGAATCGCCCCGTCGTTTCTTTCTGTATGCCGCGTTCTCTTCTTCGATGCCTCTGTCTTGCGTCGTGCGCTTGGTGACTGGAGACACCCTGCGTAAACTCTCCAGCACCTGGGTCGCCATCGGGAATGGGGCGAGCTGTCTCTCGTCTTCGTCCTCTCCAGAAGATGACACCACCGTATTCCTCCCCTTGCTTGAGATTAGCTTGAGCTTCGCACGCGACGGTGCCCGCGGTGGCGGCGAGGTACGCTTTGATGCAGGAGAGGAAAGCGGGGAGAGTTCCGGGAACTCCGTCGTGCGTCTATTCCGCGCGAGAAATGAAGGCGAATTGAACAACTTGTCGAAGGGATCGTCGCTTGCCTTCTCCTTGCCTTTTCCTGGGCTCCCTCCACGAGCAGCATTTTGCGAGGACAGGGGCGACAGTAGGGGGAAAGGGTTAATGTCTCTGTCAGCCTTGGAGCTGGGTCCCTCGCGCCCCTTGCCCTTGTCTTGTGCTTTCGTGTTCGCCCTCCGTCGTGTCACGTCCGTCTTTGCGCCATCCGAATCGTCCTCAGAAACATGGATCAGTTGAGAATGGATCCCCGCAAACTCTTGCGTGCTCTGGGACCGCGTGAGCGGCTGGCTCTTCTCGCCACCCTTGTCTTGCGATCCGGGACGGAAGTCGGGGACGGTCTGAGACTTGCCAATATTGTTACGGTTGCCCTTGTAAACAGGGCGCGGCGCGACACGAACAGGGCGGGGGGTCTTGTCGGCGTCCTTGTCCTGTTCTTTCGCGCCCTTCTCGGGCTCACGCGGGGGAGTGGACGGCCGAGCCGGACGAGACCGGTCTTTGTTTGGGGTGCGCTCTCGCAGAGGTTGTAACTTCGCCTTCGTCGCTTCAAAGGAAGGACCGGCACGGGCATTCGTGCGGGGGAGAGGGGGGGCCGGACGAGAGGTGGACGAACCTGTCTTTGGGTCCTTCGGTTGTGGTTGTGTGTCCTGAGAGTTCTCCGGGGTCTGGCTAGATGAAGGACCGCCCGCCTTCTTCTTTGATATCCTCATCTTCGTGAGATCGATAGGTTTGTAGTCCGGATTCGCCTGGTGGTGGTCAATTACCACTACAGTGGGGGAAGGCGAGGACGAGAGGTTGCGTGCTCCGGTCGTGGCCCGCTTCTCGACACGCTTGGGCTTCCTCGGAGAAGTAGAGTTATGACGGGAAGACCCGTGCTGCGGAAGACAGTCGAGCTCATCTGGGCTAGATTCGGGGTCGCTGAAATCGATCACCACGCCTGTGCTTGAGGAGGCGGACTTCTTGGTCGACTTGCGAGAGGGAGAGGAAGTGCAAGAGCCAGAGGCCTTGTCGCCAAAGTCACTGCCAAAATCCTCGAAGGTGGCGCCTTTTCTCTGAGACGAGGGCTTTGGGCGTTGTGAGAGCCGTGTCGTCGTGGACGCGTCGGTTTCGAGGGTCGTGCCTCTGCTCTTCAACATCTGGTTCATGGCCTCCATGGGGTGTGCTCAGAGACAGCATCCAGTCCAAGCCGGGAGAGATTACGCGTGGTTGCAGTCGAGAGTCCTAACGTCGTCGTCGTCGTCGTCGTCGTCGGTCGAGGCGCGGAGTTAAACTTAAAGTTGCCGTCGACAGACGCGTCGGGGTGACGGTCACGTTGGCGCGCCCTGCTACGTCACGCGACAGGGGCGCCTGAGTGATGACACATGCATGTTTTCCCCTATCAAGAACCTGAGCCCGAAAGTTGTCCTACTCATCTCATCTCATGAAAACTAGATACCCTCACAAGGTATATGACCTGCACATGAAGTACCTGGCTGTCGGTATTGCTTCAGTCTATAGACATGATTGATGGCTTGGACGCGCAAGAACCGGGTCCGAACGAAGGTTTCCACGGTATTCTCCACCTTCCTGACGAGATATTGCTGCAGATTGTGCTCCATCTTGGCTTTCAAGACATAATAGTATTACAGAAGGTCTGTCTCTATTGATCATCCGACTGCAGATATGACAGTGCTAACCCTATCCTCATCGTTTTGGTACCTAGACATGCACGCGCTTCCGCACGATCACTCAAGATCGCTCGGCATGGCTCCGTATGCTCAGAACGCAGAGTCGATTGCTTCCTCTGCCATCTCACCTCGTACAACCATCATCCTGGACACCCCTATCTTCGACAGAGGTCGAGATGGCGGTTCGCAGGCTGCAGGATGTTGAGTGCACGTGGCTCCTCCCACGCTCCACGTATTTTATCCCTGGCCATGTTGATCACTGCGCACTGGACCCGGTCTTCAACAATGACGATGGCTCACGGACGATATACACTATCAATATCTTCCTCGACCGCTGGCTACTTTGTGTCTACCTCGAGAAGCTAGTCGAGCTTTGGGACCTTGACTCCGTCTTTCACGATCCAAACAAACCTATCCTTTGCACGAGTGAGCAAATCAAGGGAATCGGCTCGTTCTCTTCGGCTATCACTCATCTCGACGAGCAAAGTCACGTTCTTACCATCGCTTTCTCCTGGTGAATCCTCTCTTTGGAACGCTAGCTGTGTTCGATGATACTGATTTGTAGAGACAGTCACGAGTTGTGCCATGTGCTCCAAGTGCAACTGTATCCCTCGTCAGCCATGTATTGCCCCCAACAGAATTGCGGGTCAAACGATGTGCAATTTCGCACCATTGCCACAATCAGGTTTGCCTCGCCGATATTTTGTTTGCGTGCCCTCGACCCGACCCAATCCCTTCTACTTCTCGGCCTCCCGTCATCTTTCCATTTACTCAACTGGGACACAAACAAGCGCACAGTGGTCAATATGCTCTCTGAAGAAGAGGAGGAGCTAGTAAGTCGATCCACCACGTGTTGCCCAAGCCTACTCTCACCTCGTCTAGTGGAATGGTGTCGTAGAGGCCACCTTTCTCACCCCACGCCACATCCTGGTCCTCAAAGCCCACTCTCTTGAAGTCTGCACGCTTCTCGACAGCCCACAGGTCCGCATGAACCAAGATTTGCCTAATGCCGACACGGGCCCTTCTGCCCGCCTCCCTCCCGCCGCGCAGTTGTCCGCCGTGGTCCGCTCTCACTTCTTCCCTAGCACGACCTTTCGCGGCGTCTCCTTCTCCAAGCCTATCGTCTGCCGTCCCTCCGTCTTAGACCCTCCAGACGAACCCACCCGCGTCTCCCTCTCTTTCCTCGCCTATGACGTTCTCCGCGGTCTCTTCCACTGCTCCGTCCTCGTCATCATCCCCTCCCCCGGGTCGCCCTCGCTCCGTAACCTACGCGATTATGTCTCAAGCCCCCCGATCGACGTGCAAGTCCGTCTGCTCGCCGCACACAACATGGCCATTCCGGTCGCCCCAAGCACCGAAGCATCCCCTGTTTCCCGGAGCGGATTCTCTCATGGCACGCGCGGGTTCGTGTCTGCCTGCGCACTCGGGCCCGCAGGGCGCCGCGGCGTCTGGGTTGAGCGCAGGCGGGGAGCCGTCAGGAGAGTCGTGTACGGGTTTTCGTCCGTCATCGCTGCGGGCGAGGACGATAGCGACGACGAGTCCGATGGCAATAGCGTCCACTCGGACGGGGTTGAGTTCGAAGGGCCGAGGCCCCCTCACAAGAAAGATATAGGCGGGAAGAAGAGGAAGGGAACGAAAGGCAAGAAGAAGGCGAAGGAGGGGTTCCAGCCCGGGACGCCCATCTCGGTACACAACTCAGAGCTGGATACTGAGTCCGGGCATGGCTGGCTCACGCAGGCACCGCGCGCGATTGACGGGAAGGAGGTATACGACGTGAACTCTTACGATCTCCGAGGTGAGCTTCCTCTCAAGTTGCGCCTCTCTGCACGTTTCCGACAGCACCTGGCTCACGAGTTTCTTGTCGCAGACGACATCACCCATATCGCGTTCTCAGAGACGACGGGGCTCATTGCGCTCGGGACACGCAAAGGCGACATCCGCATGCTCGGCCGAGCGAAGTAACGCCCATTCACCCTCTCGGCCTATCGTCCGAACGGAGTGGAGGGTTGGTTTGGGCGCCAAAGCTGATCGTCCGAAGACGTCGATCTCGACATTGTCGAGTGGAGTGTTCGCCGAAGAGGAGTTCAGCACAATTTGCAGCGACTTCGACGAATTTGCACGCCGAGCGGACACATCGCGCTGCTGAATGGTGTGCGCACGCAGGGTCGGGCCATGTTGGACCGTCTATCGGCAATGTCTGGCAGCGGGGCCAGAGTCTGACAGCGTCTTGGGAATTGTATGCGGAGATTTGGAGAGGTGCAGATGTTAGCGCGCATGACCCTAGGGCCTAAAGATAGCCGGCGTTCGACTGGGGAAGGTTTATGTTGTACTCACCTGAAAGGGGAATAAAAGCTCGGCTGTCGGATCCAGCATCCACTCACGCCCACATACGCCAAGCACGCTCACGAATTCCAAACAATGGTTGATGGTCTCTGCGAAAACTGTTTCAAGGGTATGTGTGCCGTCCCTGTAGTCACAAATATAACAGCTGTTAATTGTTGGTGCTGTAGGAGTCCGCCATGAGAGTACTCCGGAAGGTCAGGAGCTTCTGCCCGCCGCGTCGCATAGTCCTTTCATATCGATCGTCGCCGATCGTTGTGCTCACTGTCAGGCAACCTAGGCAAGATCGATACGATCGCGGGAGTAGAGTGCTACATCGCAACGCCCACGGGCGACTATCCTAAAGACAAAGTCGTCCTCTTTCTTTCCGATGTTTTCGGTATTCCTCTTATCAATAACAAGGTCCGTAACATTTGATAGTTCCTATGAGTTCCACCTGCTGAGCTCATACAGCTGCTTGTCGACGACTTCGCGCGGAATGGGTATGGCACGATCATGCCTGATCTATTCCAGGGCGACCCGTACCCTGTAGACGCATTGACCCGTACTGACTTCGACCGTGAGGCATGGAGGGCTCGGCACAAACCCGAAACCTGGGAACGCTTCGTCGATACCGTCGTCCAAGCGCTACAGGCGGAGGGTGTCACTTGGATTGCGACGACGGGCTACTGCTTTGGAGCTCCGCCCGTCTGGCGACTCGCGCTCAAGGGCTGGAGCAAAGTCTCTGTGATCACACACCCGTCGCGCTTCCGGATACCTGAGGACCTTCAGGTACGCCTTCAACGAAGCAGTTTGAGACATTTTGGGGAGTGGTTTACTGACAACGTGTGAAGGAATACTTTGACCAATCGAAGGCGCCGCTGCTGATAAACAGCTGTGAAGACGACGCAGCGTTCCCGCAGGAGGCACAGAGGGTCGCCGACGCGGTTTTCAGTGGGAGTTTCTCTCCGAGCTACAAACGTACGTATTGGGAGGGTTGCTCGCACGGCTTTGCTGTCCGCGGAGACATGGTACGTTCTTCTGCCGACGTCGGCCATTACTTGTTGATGGCTGAGACACGATTTGCAGAGCAACCCGAAGGTCAAGGCTGGCAAGGAGGGAGCGTTCGAGGCGACCGTGAAATTCTTCAACAAGTACAGGGATTTGTGAGATGTACCGGGGATCTATAGCACGTGCCGTATACCTAGGTGTAAGATCAAGAGCATTGTTCATTGTGGCCTCCGCATATGTGTTCCGTCTACTCCCTGGGAAGCTTCTGGTTCTGCTTCCGCCTAACAGCGCGAACTTCACTTGATTGAAGACCAGACGGTCGCTCACGCCCTGGACCCCGCCCGGCTTCCCTGCGAAGCACAACTCGGAAAGCGGCGGTTCGAGGCGAGTTCCGCCCTGCTTGAGTCGGGTAAGCATGTCAGTGGCAGGACGGATCACGACCAGGCCATTAGCTATATATTCGCAGAGGCTACTAGGTGGCAAGCTCATGTCATGCATCTTGGCCGGGGTTGCCGCTGGTCTGAAGAAGTGAGGGATTACATGGTCTGGGCTGTTGAGCCTGTCCACTTGCAACAGACCGTATAGGGCCATCACATAGTTGGGCTGACCGTAGCCTGACGGTGGAGCCGATAGATACTAACCTTGAATCCTGCGATGCATGCAAACTATGAGACGAGAGACAGAAATCACACGCGAGAACCCCTATGCACAGACGATGCGTCATTCAGTCATTCCAGTCGGCCACGAGTGCAAAGTGTGTGGTTACATGGAACACAGCTCGAGAGATATCTCCAGCTATCGTTACGTCAGACCTCTCCTCCACATGCTACGACTTCCCGCTTAGTTGCACTGGGCGACCAGGTAGTTGTTCCCGTCGTCGGGGTCAACGGCATACACCTGGATCGTGTTCGAGTCCGCGATCCCCCGTCCCGCATTGTACTCCAGGAAGTTCACCTTCTGAGACCCATCGCTCTGGACCGAGTACCCATCGCGCACCCCAAGGTCCTTGCCGGAGACGAGGACGCGGTAGGAGTACTTCTTGTCGGTGAGCACCTTGGGGAACACGACGTTGTCGACGTAGCTGCTCGGGTGGCCGCGGACCCAGTTCGGCGTATAGTCGAAGGTGAGCTTCTTCTCAGCCCAAACGAGGGCAAAGGTGATGGCGGTGCTGTTGACGTGGGCAGACATGATGCTGTATGCAAGGGATGGAGGTCAGCGGGACATGACAAGTGTCTGGGCTTGAGGACGTCGGGCAGACCTTGGTTTCAAACGTAGAATCTGCGATGAGGAGAGTGGTCAGTACATCTGCCAATGCATCCACGAGAGCTGTCAGTGGCTCACCGAAAGGATGTAGGAGCGAGTGCTGAGGAGAAAGGTCCCTCCTCTGTCCTTTTTATACACAATCTCGTCGCCTCAGCGTACCCCTGTACGTCAGTACATGCACGTTCGTTTACCGCGCGATGCTGAGCAGAGACCAAGCATGAGTGGATATGCGGCCTGCTGACCACCCCAAATGTCATTGCAGCCTGTTCCATTGCGAGCATCGACACTGCTCGGCGGACCATGCGAGGAGTCTGACCCGGTAGACGCTCGAGGCTTTGGACTTTCGTTAGCCAACATGACGCCATGACGCGTTCGTGAGCACCGAGCGGCTGGGAGGGACGCCGGTATGCCTACGGAGCAAGCATTGATTTCCTTCGGTACGAGTAGCAAAACGGTCTACGGAACATCCTATAAATAACAGATCAATGAGTCGACTTCACAAGATGCGCGTTCACGTTGGAAAGGCGACTTAAGCCTTTATCAGCGTCGAATTGGTCTATGAAATCATCAAGGATGATAGTGCTCACCTGACGTAAGGGAAGTGTATGCTCCAGCACACTATAACATTTGGGCCAAATAATTCGCGTTTTACTATAACTATAAGGATTGAAAAATGTATCTAACTGATATCCCTGTCCAGCAACGTCAAAGTCTGGTGGACCAGCTGAAGGACGCTGTCTCAAGCACCGCAAAGCATGATTCACGTCACTACGACACGTCTTGCACATATGGATACTAGAGTGAAGACGCCACGCTTGGTTTCGTTCACGCAAGCCGCTGGTGGAGCAATTGGGTCAACTGAACCATCAAAACAGACTAGGAATCGAGAAGGGCGTCCATCACAGGCTGGGAAGCCGACCTCGAGCGAGGGCCGTCACCTAGATTCACAGAAGACGCACGTTGTTCTCGTCACGAATCTCGCTGGGAAGAAGCAGAGCGGTGCCAGGCTTACGTCCAATGCAATGGCGGACGCCCACGGCCAGCTTCCCGGAGGTCCGACGACAATGGTGTTGGGTACTTGCACTGGCTCCGGAGAGTGGACGTTGAGTCTCTACTTGGCGTCTGAGAAGGCTTGTCTCGTTGACGAGGGCATGCAGATACGGCTGTCCGAGGCCCAGGAGAACTGTGACGAGGTCTAGAGGCACCATCGCCCTTTCGTCGACGCCCGTCGTCGTCAAGTACGCAACCCGACGAGCCTTCATCAAGGCCGGGCGCGTCCATGACGGTCCACAATTGGGTGCAAAAGTATTGACATTCCGCATGGAAAGCATGTCAGGAGACCCCAAGTGTCGCGGAGGCTGACATAGCGCGAGTCTCGTAGCTCTGGTGCCAGCGTATTCATACTTCCAAATACGCGTATTACTCAGTACACTGCAGGACTTGCTCTATAACGTGGTCGCTTCCACCTTTTTCTCCAGCTCCTCCGTAAGCTTTGTATCAGACGCGCGGGCCGCCTGGGTGTCTTTATGAGTGGTCTGTGTCGAGACTGCTGGAACGCCTTCAGGGCCGTCCCAGCCGGTGAGTGGCTTGCCATCAGCCGTCTGGACACGGGAGAAGAATTCAGGATGCAGGAAACCCTTTTCGTCTCCTTCAGTGAGGATGACGCCATTAGCGGATAGATAGAACTTGATTCCTGCGTCGATGGCTTTTTGTACGTCGATGAATATGAGAATCTGCGATGAACTCCGCATGCCTGGCCGTAACACAGTGAGTGAGCGTGTCGACCGATGTGAGGACTTTGTCTATAGGAAGGATAGCGTACCGCTGATGACACCGGAGCCAGCTACACCCTGAGCGAGATGAATATGGTTCCGAGACATCTTGCTAAGGCCTTGTTCCTCTAGCGATGTGGCACCTTTTAGGCAAAGAATTCACCGCACGGGTTGTTTAACTCACTTATACTTTCCCAGGCACGCTTCGTCGTTCCGTGGACGGCAATACCAGTAGGAATGTCCGCATGAGACTGGATAGGCTCTAGATCGAGCACAACCGTCTGCACACGCGATGAGTCACACTTCTAGATGGAACTTATTCTTACTACCATCTTACCTTCATCGAATGACCCTGATTAGCCCGTATCCACCATGCCTCTTCGCTAGAGTTCGGATCCGCCTCCAGCACGAGGCTATATCTACTTTTGGCGTCGTTCTTTACAATCTCCTGAAGTGTGGCGAAGTCGAGCTCGCGCAATTTGGGGCGCGCCAGCTACTTCCAAGGGCATCAGCGCGTTTCTGCGACCGAATTAACCTGTCACGAAGACTCACTAACTCATCCAAGCGCACATAACCATCCGGGCGCATGGCAAGACCCTCCGACTGCGAGCCATGTCGGAGGATCCACGTCAGTGTTTTAGATATGCGGACATCATGGGCGTCCTTTGGTAGTCCCCTCAACTTCGCGGAACCACCCCTTCGTGCGCCTCCGCCTCCACCTCTGCCCTTTGTATTCTGCCGTTCTCCTGGTCGTTTGCGATCCTTCTTCTCCTGGCGTCGCTGCTGCTGTTCCTCGGTCTTGTCCGCATCGATAGACGACATCCCGAGTGTGCGGTTCTGTCGTAGCGAGAATAGGAACGAGCTTGACAAAGCCGTTCGGACGCAATGATAGTACGGAGCGCAATGAGGGGCAATTCGTGAGATGTATGGTCTTCGATGTCCAGGCCAAGGTGGGTCCCAGTTGGCGCTTGCGAATTCCTACCATTTCGACTCGATCGCAACCTGAGATCTACGGATCCAGCAGGATGGTAACGTCCCCCGCAATTTCGTCGTCACTATTCCTGAGCCTCATCGTAACAGCTTGAGCTTCTGCGTGACCCTCATAGACTCACAAACTTCAGCAGCTTGCTTGTCAGATTTGTCGTGGCGAATATTTTGAGTTGCCGTCGAAATTCAGGCCTTTCGCGTGGCCCGACAATTTAGCGCCTGACTCACAATGGGTTTACATAAGCAGTGCCTGACGGCTCGCTGCTTGGCTTCACCACCGCAGGTCTTTGTCCTGGATTACACATCCTCCTGGGTCTCCTTCCATCCCGTAGCCGCAACGTGCATATCCGAAGTCCGTCGACATAGAATATTCCTAGTGAGTTAGCCATACTAAAGAGGTTAACTGGGCAGTTCCCCGGCCGATCTGACGGGAGCTGGTACCACTTTGCCGTTTACAACGCCTTTCAGCCATGCCACCCGCGGTCGTTCAGAACTCCAGCTCTTCAAACCGCCGCTCAACCGGCTCCATACGACAGCGGGAGAACAGGACTCACAGTCAGCACCCCCAGACTGGTTCTGTGTCCGCTCGACGTCGCAAGTCACGCTCCCCGGACACATGTGCAATTGACGAGGCCATCTCACAAGCTGACAACATCTCGCGGAGGAAGAAGCGTTCCGCTCATACCACGGGAGGCGGTTCATCCTCGTCTAATGCAGCCACGATGGGAGTATCGCGCATGTCCATTCATGAAGACCCGGGGGACCGAGGTCGCACGAAGGCGAAGGCCAAGCCGAGGACCGTCAACATGTGGGTTGACGACGAGGACGACGATACCCATATTGTGACAAACATCATGCAAGAACACGGGCGGTCTGTCAATACCCAGAATGCCAGGGTTAAGCGTAAGGAGCGTTCGCGGTCACGCGATGCGACGCATAGGTATTCGAGGAAGACTGTAACTCCCGAGCCCACAGAGGATGACAATGAGCCTACGTATACTGGACCATTGGCTCAGGCAGAGTACACTAGGATGAAGCAGGAAATGGAGAACCTGCGGAAGGTGCGCTCCACCGTACTCTGTCGTGTCCAGCAGTGACTGAGAACAATGTACAGCAAGTGGCTATGACCAAGAAGACGATCGCCAAGCAAAGCAAAGTGCGGCTGAGTTTTGTCTGGCCGCTTCCTCTCTTGACCCCTCCTTTCAGGTCATCGATGAGCTTAGGTCTGAGTTGACCACAACGAACGAAGTGCGTATTCAACCGTTATTCCCTGCCGTTTGTACCCACCCCAAGTGTCATAGTCGCATCGTACTCAGCGCGTCGAGATGGAGAAGCTGAAGACTCAGTCTAAGAAGTCTAATGACGTAGGTGTTTCGCGCTGCGCATACAGGGTGCCGTTAATTGACGTAATTGTCAGCTCATCGCGGCTGTAGAGACCAATCTCACTTGCCAAATTTGCATGGAGATCCTCCTCAAACCACATGGGTATGTCTGATACCCCTCATGACCACGATCATATCCTCAGTCGTTGTAGCTTGTCGCCTTGCGGCCATGTGTTGTGCATGGTCTGTTTACAGGAATGGTTCAAGACCGCGCCTCCTGGCGAGGATGACATGGACGATGACTACCCGGATGCTATATTGTACAGGAAGAAGACGTGTCCGTGCTGCCGTACGGAAGTGCGCACCCGTCCCATACCGTTATACCTTGTGAAGTCCCTCGCGTCTGCGCTGCACAAATCTAAGGCGCCTGCGGGTGCCGCTCGCCCGTCCCCTCCTCCGGACGATGAAGATCCATGGGCGGGTATCTTCCGCGACCCAACTGCAGTCGATGACTACTGGAGTACTGACGAAGACGGGGAGGATGATGAGGAAGAGGACGACGACGACGAAGGGGAAGACGGCGAGATGTATGATGACGACGACGACTACTGGTCGTTCGACGGGTACGGGACGGGCGAAGACGAGGAACGCTACGACGGTCCCTACATACCCGCCCGCTGGGCCCCTCCCAGCGTCCCTCTCTCGCCTGACGAGTACCCGTTCCTCACTGACGACTCGGAGGAAATCGCCATGCTTCGCCGGGGCGTGACGCTACAGATGATAGAGCTATTCCAGATGTCCTACAGCCACCATACGGGCCTGTGCGCCATCGTCGACGGAGAGAACGAGGTGCACCTCGGCTGGAATATCGAGCTTCATCCCGACGACGAGACGGGCGAGGAGTACATGGACTGGGTACTCTCGGACATGTACGACCGGCCGGAGCGCTGGCGCGTTGAAAGCGATGATCTTGAGGGAACATGGAGCGCTTGGAAGCTTGTCCCGGCGGATGAGGCGGATGAGTATGACAACTCGGACTCGGACGCGTGGGCGGAGGAGATGGATGACGAGGATTTGTGACTGACGTGAAGAGGTTTAGCAGAAATATGGTGCTTTGCAAGTGGCGTCTCTGTATTTTTTCGCATCAAGTGTACACTGTTTATATCATTGTTTTCTGACATTGTATTGATACCATTTGCAGTCAAGCGTTCCCTTCCCTTCCGCTGCCATGGCCTGATCTAAATATCTCGTCGACGTTGACGTGTGCTTCCGGAACGGTGCACGCTACTCGTCTTTGCAGGATTGTTTGGGGCTAGACAATACCAGGACAAGGCCCTCCATGTCAATTGAATTAGTCTACTTGGGACGATGCTCTGTCGAGGATATGAATGCTTCCATACCCGGCAGTTTTTTTGTTTACACGTTAGGTGGCTCACAGATCTGGCAAAAGTCTACAGGGGCCACCGCGGTTCGCCCGCAGTGCTAGGCCATCTCACGCCTCTATTCTGCTCGTTCACTGGTAGTGCGTTCACAGCTCGTCGCATTGGTTGATATTATATACATCTGACGATGCAGGTTGGCGCGGCGCCCGCTGCCTTTAGTCCAGCGAGCATTTATTCCTTTCTGAGAGAGCTCGCTATACTGTGTCCATCGCGAGGTCTGCCTCCGCAAGTTGTTCATTGCGGCCCACGTCTCGGATCCTCTCTGCACGCAATGGTCCGCGCTTTCGCGGCTCTGAGACAGCATGGAATTCTGAGAAGTATGTGTGAGGAGTCAATTTGTAGGTGTTAGGTCAACAGACATGGCGCGGCTGGGATCATCCATGATTTACTGGCCACTCAGTCGCTAGCCGTGACGAAGACGATATGGTCGCTGTCTTTGCTCGCAATGAAGCAGGATGCAACGACACCCGGGGTACTCAGCAAGTCGCAGAGCCACTGCTGTTCGGTTTCCTAGTCTGGTCACCGGCCTCGCACGTTGAACAGATCCGCATCCGCTGTCATACGGAGGCACGCTGAGGCGACGACAGACTGTGTGTATAAAATAAGGGTAGAGAACAGTCACCTCTCCTCAGCATCCGCTCCTATATTCTCTCGGTGAGTCTTTCACTCACCACTCCCTCGTTCATGCGCCCGCAGGTGTACTGATCGTTCTCCTCGTCGCAGATCCTACATCCGCAACCAAGGTCTGCCCCGGGCCGACGTCCTCGGGTCCGAGCCCTCATCCTTGCTAAATTTCATATTCTACATACAGCATCATGTTTGCCCCCCTAACAACCGCCACCATCTTCGCCCTCGTCTGGACGCAGACGAAGATCTGCTTCGACTACACGCCGGATTGGATTGACGGAGGCCCGCGCTATATCAACGGCGTCGTGTTCCCCAAAGTACTCACCGACAAGAACTACTCTTACCGAGTCGAGTCTGACAGAGACTATGGGGTGCGGGCTGGGTACCAGGTGCAAGCCGATGGGTCGCAGAAGGTGAACTTCCTGGACTACAATTACGGGCTGGGGATTGAGCCCTACCGAGGGATTAAGGTGTACGTTGTCGACCCCGATGACGGCAAAAACTACCTAGTCGCTGAGCTCGAGATGGACCAAAGGGAGAGATGCGCGGGTGGAGACTAAGGGACTGATAATGTGAGGATCAGCTCTAATATTGTTTGATTTCTGTGTCATGTAACAATGCGGTGCAATGTGCATGACCCTGATGATCGTGAAACATCCCATTCATGAATCAACTTTCTCGATGTGACTTCTGTCTCGCCCGTACTTACACAGATTTGATATCATACAGTGTTAGTCTGATAAAACCTCTTTTTTATTGTACAGTCGGGAGTGAGCTATCGCTACTATTCTATGGCTTTACGCAGTCTCCTGAGGATGGGCGACCAGCTTAGCACCACTGACCTGGTTGTTCCTCAACTTCTCCACACCAGAGACAATCCCCGCCAAGCCTCCAGGAACGATGTCTACTTTGAGCGGCTGTAACGGTTTGAACAGTCAATACCTTTTTCCTGCGATCCATTCATGTCTACGAATGTGTGCTTACCCTGATTTCGTTCGACTCGAGCAAAACTGGGATCACCTTGGACAGGTCCACGCCAAACTGAGGGTCCCTCTGAAGGTTGACGTTGGACATTGAGAATGTGACTGTCCGACCCTCCGTCGCCTCCACGCTCTGGGGAAGGATGACGAGCAGCCTGCCGCCGGGCGCGAGGAGCCCGTGCCCAGCAGCCTGTGTCTCCGGAAGCGAGACAGCGTCAAAGACGAAGGACGGGTAGCCACCGATGATCTTCTTGACCTCCTCACGCAATGCATCTGCAGAGAGATTGCGGTCGAGGACGTGTGTCGCATCGTAAGACTGAAGGAGGGCGGTGTTCTTGAGCGAGGCAGTTGTGACAATGGGTGAGAAGCCGGAGAGCTTTCCGAACTGGATGGCTATCGAGATGTGAATGGTTCATTCGAAAAGACGCAATGACAGGCCAAGGCAAGCATACCTACGGAGCCGACGACGCTTGCACCACCGATTACCACGAGCGGCTGGCCAGCGTACTTGCCCTTTCCACCCTCGGCCCACGGGGGGACGTACAGGCCACCGCCAGGACGACTGTACAGGCCGGTGGTAGCGCTCGCAAGCGCAGTCGGGAGGGTCGCTGCTCCATCGAAGGAAATTCCTTCGGGAAGCTGATGATCCCGCGCGTGAGTTGAACGTCGACTACGTGTAGGAAGTCAGAGGTCTGACCTTAGTGACTGACGTTGGGTCGGCCAACGTGTACTGCTGGTACGCCGCCCTGTCATTTACTGCCCAGACCGCTCTGTAGAATACCCGATCGCCCTTCTTCAAGTCGGTGACTCCCTCGCCCACGGCTTCTATCGTTCCAGCGCCTTCCGCCCCTATAATTGCGGGATAATTATCGAGGAACATGCCCCATTGCTGGATCTTCCAGTCAACCGGGTTGAGGCCAACAGATTCATTCCTGATGAGGAGCTCTCCCCGTTTCGGGATAGGGACGTCACGGTCGCGGACGGCAAACTGACCCTGCTTCTCTAGGAGGAATAGAGCCTTCTGCTGAGTGGGAGTGGGCATTGCTCTGGAAGTGTGGAGATGGGATGCGCCTGGCAGACGGGGTGGTTTGTGAAGGTAAGATGGTGTCGGGAATCACTTACCGCTCGAGCGCACCTTATATCGACTTCCGCGAGTGAGAAGCAACGGTAGGATGTTCTTCAGCATGTAAGTCCGAGATGGAATACATCATTGAAAACTGAGGAAAGGACGTTGAAGGAGGCCAAGATTTGGACGATCGTTTGCACAAGCACTGTCAAGGCAATCGGACGAATCGCCGTTGCACGACGGGCATTGGCCAATGTCCCGGACCCAAACTGGGACAGAGAAATGGCCTGGGAATGGATGCCTGTCACAGGTTATGTCCCAATGCCTAGCTCCGGACCCGAGCCAGGGGGCGCTCTGATACCATAAAGAGGATATTGGCGCTCGAGACTGTCCAACAAGGGGTATATACGCTTATGTCATTGGCTTTGTCAGCCTTAGTATTTCCCTTTATGGATTTTAGCGCCGGATGGCTCAGGTCCGGAGCTAGGCTTTGGGACATAACCTGTGACAGGCATCCATTCCCAGGCCATTTCTCTGTCCCAGTTTGGATCCGGGACATTGGCCAATGCCCGTCGTGTTGCCGGTACAGTCGACACCCTCCTAACCCATACCCCTGGTAACCCATAAACTCTAAAAACCCATAGGATTTTGGCTTTCCCAAGTCGGGATAGGGGGAATTCGACCCCATAACCCATAGGTCCCCAGTACCCCATAACCCATAGCCTTCTAGGGCTCAAAACCCATACGGTAATAGTGGTCACATTGAGATTTCGCTCATCAATAACCCACAAAGTACTCGATACATGCTTCCTTGTGTCCTCCCAGCATCCATCCATGCTTCAACCACATTGTGGGTGTTCGAAATCGTCAGTAGACGCCTGTTCAGCGCTCGCTAACTGGGACTTATCAGGGCGCTTAGAAGGCGCTAAAGTTCTGGTAGCCCATAACCCCTCAAAACCCATATATTTGGGCCTGTCCCGAGGGCTATGGGTTAAGAGGGTGTCGACTGTAGATAGGTAATGATTCATAAGCGTGGTGGCTGTGCCAGCATTCACTTACCGCGATTGGTGACCGCATTGCCCGCAATTGAACATATTTTCAGAACTTTGACAACACCTCATACGTTGTAAGGCAAGTGTCAGAGACCGCCCGCGAAGTGCGGCCTTCTGCTGCTGGAATCAAGCGCTACGAGTACGACGGAGGACCTGAGGATCGAATCCGAAGTCCCGCTGAACGTCGACGTCAATGCCGGCGCCGGCGGAATGTAACGTTGCACGAAGCACTCAAATGTAGTAATGGACCGGTCATCGGGACATTGGATTCATTTCACCAGCGCGAGCTCTCCCGTCCTCTGTCAAACGAAATCGGGATCCATAGACTTCATCACAACTATCATACCTACATTATCTGACTCTTTTGTGGCAAGGAGGAAGAGTTTGTAGGAGATCGAGGAGGAAAGCTCCTCAGCCTGTTAATATGGTACCCTCAATCCTCGAGACACTCCAAGTCTTATAGACACGGCCGAAAGATTCCATCTTAGCGAGCTATCCGAGGCATAGACATGGCAAATCAGCAACATAGCGCTTGTCCCGATGACAGAGTGTTCTGCTGCAGAGCACAAAACAACTCCCCCTTAAGTTCACAAGAGCTCAGACGGGAGCCGAACTGGACATATAACAATGCGCTGTGCAATCGTGCACGGTAAACATCCCATTCAAGTTACATGTTTCTCAGTGACTTCTCGCCCGTACTTTCACAGATTGAATATAATACAGGGTTAGTCTGATGAACCTCTCTGCTATCGTGCAGTCGGGAGTGATCCATCAACACCATGGCTTCACGCGGTCTCCTGAGGGTGGACAATAAGCTTAGCCGCGCTGACTTGGTTGTTCTTCAACTTCTCTAGGCCAGAGACAATCCCCACCAAGCCTCCAGGAATTACCTCTACGTTGAGCGGCTGCAACGGTTAGAACGGTCAGTGACTAATGGCTTCAATCCATACAGGTCCATGCTTCAGTGCTCACCTTGATTTCACCCGATCTAAGCAGGATCGGGATCACTTTGAACAGGTCCACCCCAAACTGAGGGTCCTGCTGAAGGCGGACGCCGGCTGACATCGTCGTGACCGTCCGGCTCTCCGTCGTCTCCTTCACGGTCTCGGGAAGGATGACGAGCAGCCTGCCGCCGGGCGCAAGGAGCCCGTATGCAGCAGCCTGTGTCTCCGGAAGCGAGACGGCATCATAGACGAAGGAAGGGGAGCCACCGATGATCTTCTTGACCTCCGCACGCAAAGCATCCGCAGAGAGGTTGCGGTCGAGGACGTGCGTCGCGCCGTAAGACCGAAGGAGGGCGGCGTTCTTAAGCGAGGCAGTCGTGACAATGGGCGAGAAGCCGGAGAGCTTGCCAAGCTGGATGGCTGGCGAGATGTGTATAGTTCAATCAGGTAGGGTAGGGGCAAGAACAGTCAAAGGCGAATATACCTGCGGAGCCAACGACGGTTGCACCGCCAATGATCACGAGCGGCTGGCTAGCGTACTTGCCCTTTCCACCCTCGGCCCACGGTGGCACGTACTGGCCACCACCAGGTTGGCTGTACAGGCCGACAGAAGCGGTCACAAGCGCAGTCGGGAGGGTTGCCGCCGCATCCAAGGAAATTCCCTCGCCAAGCTAGTAACCCCACGCGTGAGTTGGCTGTCGACTCCGTATAGACAGTCGGAGGTCTGACCTTCACGACTGATGTTGGGTCGGTCAGCGTGTACTGCTGGTACGCTGCCCTGTTATTGATCACGGGGACCGCTTTGTACAACACCTGATCGCCCTTCTTGAATTCGGTGACTCCCTCCCCCACGGCTTCAATCGTTCCAGCGCCTTCCGCCCCTATGATGGCGGGATAAGTATCGAGGAACATGCCGTATTGCTGGATCTTCCAGTCGATCGGATTGAGGCCAACAGACTCATTCTTGATGAGGAGCTCTCCCCGGTTCGGAGTAGGGACGTTACGATCGCGGACGGCAAACTGACCCTGCTTCTCTAGGAGAAAAAGAGCCTTCTGCTGAGTGGGAGTAGGCATTGCTCTGGAAGTGTGAAGACAAGAAGAGTCTGGCAGGGGGGGGGGGTGTTTGTGAAGGTAAGATGGCGTCGTGACTTAGCTACCGCTCGAGTGCACCTTATATTTACATTCACGAGTGCGGAGCGAAGGTGGTACGTCCTCATCTTCCTTGCTACGCTCGATGGCGCGATCTTGGGTTTAGCGTAGATTGACATGGCATTGACTGTCAGCTTTCTATCATGGGGGTCCGTATGCACATCCATAGGAAAGGGCGTTGAGGGAGTCCCATATTTGGGTGATCGTCTGAATAAGCATGATCAGCAGAAATGCGTAAGACTTGAACCTTCGCTACTGGCATCTGTACTAGAGCGGCCTATTAGCCTTTCGGTGCTGTCGTCGAGAAGATGGACGAGTTGTCGCTGCGGGTGGATGGGTAATGTGGTAATGTGATCGAGGGCTTCATAAGCAGAGGCGCTGCGGTATGGGTATAGACATGGGAACTTTGAACAGGCCGCAATGTAGACAGTTCGCCGTCGAACTTACCTCTATTAATCACTACTTTTCCCTCAGTTGTAGATGGTGGCTTCAAGGTCTGATGAGGCCTGATACATTGTAAGGCAGACAGTGGAGACTATCCGAGAGACTATGCGCAAAATGCGGTCTTCTGCCGCTGGACAGGCACTACGCGTACAAGGATGGACTGGTCCGAAGTCCTACCTGGAAGTCAACGTCAGTGTCGGCGACAGAGAAACATGCCATTGTACGAGTCACTGAGAAGCGAGCTTGTTGGGTATGCACTATAGGCCAATGACTTCTGAACGGTTCAATTCTTTCTCGAGCGACGCACCAGTGGGTTGGAGACGTCGAACGGGTGGCGGCCAAGACGCAGCGTTTCCGATTTCGGCAAACATCACGGCGTCACAGCGGTGACGTCTCTGCCAGGACTGAGCGGCTGCAGCTCTCGCGCTCTTCCGCCCCCGCCCCGCCGCCTCAGGCCTGTCCTCCGGTTGTCTAGCGTCCCTGGTCCTCTAGCCCACCAATACATCTGGGACAAGGACGCGGATTTGACTGTTTCCTCAGGTGGTCACGCAATTGCTGGCCAGGCTCACGCTGGACTCACAAACCTGGGCCTTCCCGACATTCTCTCCTGTTACGACCATTTCACGCTTCTTCACGACACTCACGACGAAGTCCCTCTTGTGATACGCTGTATCTTTGACTGCAATATCTACTCTGTATATTCTGGGGCTTAGACTCTAGTTGTCTCTTGTCGCTGTTGTGATGGCAGAAATTGTGAACGGGAGATGTCATGCAGAGCGGGCACCCTTGCAGGAGCCATCGCTTGTGCAGAATGGGAAGATAGTCCTGCAGCGTGCGTCTTCCACAATTATTCTCATGTGCGTATGTCTGACATGCATTCAACTCTAGCCCACCATGTATGTTTCATTTTGCCAGGCCGCGCTGAAGACGTGTGCTCATGCCGTGTGTGAAGATTGGCTGGATCGTTTCCTCTGTCCTTACCTTGGTGGCTATGGGTGTGTCGTTCTGGCTCATTGGCAAACATGTACGGAACTATACAAACGTGCGTGCTACATTGCCTCGATCCCGTCTTTGCGCCCTGACGATTTCAAGATACGTTAGAAATATGAGCAACGTTGTATGTCTTCTCTGTGCTTCATCAGGGATGTGAGCTCATCTTACTATCTGGAAGACATCGTTCGTATCCTCTTCATGGTCCCTCTGTATGCGGTTGTCAGTACTGCGTCCTACTTCTGGTGGGTGAGTATCGCGTTCCGTCCGTCCTCGGTATCAACAACTGGCATATAGCTGATCGCGGAAATCAGAACCACTCGACGCCACTTCTCCTGATTCGCGATTGCTACGAGTCCACTGTCTTGACAGCGTTTTTCTATCTCTTGCTGCTGTACATCTCGCCGGATGTGAATGTGCAAAAGGAGGTGTTTCGGAAGGCGTGTACATCAAACTATCCATCTTCGGCTCACACGCTGATCTCTCCCTCCCATAGAATGGTCTGTCTCGACAGAACGATAAGGAGAGAGGCAGACGAGGGGAGCCGGTACAGAAATGGGTGATGCCTCTCGGGTTCGTGCACTGGAAGCCAGAGGTCGGTCCATTATTGCATTCATGCGACTCTGCGCTGAGGGATCGTTTCTCTTGTAGGATGGTCTCTATTTCTTGCAGCTCATGAAGTGGGGCGTTCTTCAATATTGCGTAGTCAGGCCGGGGTATGTTATGGCCGATCTGTCAAGGTTGCCTGCATTTGACAATTCGTTCATGTAGGACAACATTGGCAGCCGTGATCCTCGATTATGTCGGCTTGTACTGTGAGGATTCTTGGAGTCTTGGATGGGGCCATATCTGGGTAGGTCCTTGGAGTTGTCGAGGCGCACATTCTCGTTTGATTGAGGTTCCCATGCCCAGATTACGATTGTCGTATCGCTTTCCGTGACGATTGCCATGTACTGCCTGCTGCAGCTGTACATGGTTGTCAAAGTCGAATTAGCGCCTCAGAAGCCGCTGTTGAAACTGTTCGCTATCAAAGCAGTCGGTGAGCCTCGGCTACACTCCTCGGGTCACGTCCGTTTCTGAACTGCTCGCGCAGTGTTCTTGACGTTCTGGCAAGCGACAGCCCTGTCTGTGCTCACCTTATTCGGACTGGTCAAAGATGTATGTCCGACCGAGACGTCGCTATATGTAATCAACTAAGCTTGTCCCCTCAGACTCCATACATGACTGCCGATAACATCAACATCGGCCTCGGAGCCCTGCTGGAGACATTCGAGATGGCGTACGTCTCTGGGGCTCTATATATGCGCTCGCATTCTGACCGGCTGTACAGTGTCTTTGCCTGCCTGCACATCAAGGCCTTCTCCTACAAGCCGTACGTAACCGGCGATACGACGCCCCGGTTCCGCTCCCTTGTCCACGCAATGAGCTTCAAGGAGACCGGCCGCGAGATCTGGGCTGGCTGGATCTACATGGTCCGCAGGAGTCGTGGGCACGAGGTTGACACTCAGGCGCGTCGCGAAGCCGTCCTCGAGGACGTCTTCGGGCGCTCGCGAATCGCCATCTACCGCGAGGCGAACGGCTCGGCCTCGGGCCCGGGCAAACTCAACAGCGCGCCGGAGAAGGATTTGAGCGTGACGGTGCAGGTGGAGAAGGAGGTGCGCGTGGGCGACGAGCGGCAGTGGCTCGGGGTGGGCGACGACTACGTGTACGGGCTGGGGTACCAGGCGAAGAGACAGAGGGAGAGGAGTGAGGGTCTAGAGTCGCAGATCGAGAAGGAGCTCGCGAGGCGTGGGTACACTCTGCAAGGTATACCCCCTTGTGATCCACGGGCCCTATGTACGTTCTGCTGACTGTGAACATACAGGCTCCGGCGGTGGTGCATACTCTCCGATCATCGACGCAGAAGCAGCCCCTACTCAGGGGCACCAGCGTGGTCAAGCATCTTGGTGGCGGCGCGTATACGACCGTCTCTCGCAGACGGGAGCTGAAATGGACAGCGATAGGACGTTAGCTTCGCCTAGTAGTCATCCTCGTCCCGGGCGTCGCTTGTCCTGGCGTCGCCAGTCCAGAGAGATGTCCAACAAGGTGGGGGCGGCTCCACTCATGGCCGACGTGCAAGAGGACGACTACAACGATCCTCCGCCGCCGTCTGCCATTCGCACGTACCGCGAGTCCAGGAACAAGAAGCAGCCGCCGAAACGCAAGGCTCCCCCGGTCATGAATCTGCCTCTTTTGTCGGCCTCTTTCGCGGATATCCCGAGTCCTCCAGGTTCGCCTGAAGCGCATGACGGTGCTCTCAGGGTCGCGCCACAAGCCCCGTTCCCTAATAGACCTGGCCCTGTACAGCAGGGCTCGCTTGCGCCTTTGATGTTGTCTCCGAGCATTCAATCGCTGCAGGCGGACAGTTTCTTGGAACGGGCGTTCTCCGGGTCAGTCGAACAAGGCTCGTCAGCCGAAGCACCTTCTGCTGGCCCGCCATCTTCGCAGTCCCACCAGACTCGTGTCGCCCTTGGTCCAGTGCCGGTTGTGTCCGCCCGAGTTAAAGCCTTGCCACAAACGCCAGTTGTTATTCACCTCAAGACTGCTGGCCCGTCGAGTCCCCTCGCTCCGGCACAGTTCCCGTCTCCTGCTCTTCCGACTCACAGTCCTCTGCGTCCCCCGACGTTCTACCGAGAGAACACTCCTGCCATGCCAATGCATTCCGCTTCTCCTCGTTCTCCGCCACCAGTTGCATCTCCGGAGCGCAACGTTCCCGCGACGTGGACGGACGACGAGGCTCGGGGCAGGAGGCGGACTTCGCACAGACGAGACTCTGCACAGTACTTCCCCGACCCTCAGGCTAGCTCTCCTATCCTATCTTCTCCCCCGCCTTTCTCTTCCCTTCAACAGTCCCCAACAACATCACCCCGTCTACACCGGACCAGCGCCGCATACTCGCGAGGTACCCGCAGGAACTCAGGACCGCCGCCACAAACCACGTACACGCCTATGAACCGCTTCACGCCAAGCAGGGATCGGATTATTCTCCCCGCGCCCCTCGCACCCGCTTCCCCAGGTGTAGCTATCACTGCAGCTAGCCCACCGCGACAGACACCCTCGTCGCCGCTGCACGCTCCGCCTGGCCTCACTTTCCTGCCTCCTTCATCGACTGGTCGCCGCCCAGCTGCCCCGAACTCTCCGCCATTCTCGGATATCGCTAGGTAGCTTGTCTACTGACTCTAGACACCTGGCCTTCGGAGCTCCTATACCCCCGTCTTGCTGCTGTTGTATCGTTGGTCGCAGTGTGGTTCCTCGCTTCTGGTGTTATTCGCTGAACTTATGACCTATTTAGTGTACTATTGTGACGAAGCCTCATGACCACCGCTTATGATACTAACGATGTTCGCCTTCTGTTGTGCATGTGGAAGGGATGGTGAAAATGAGTTAATTTGACGGAAATACGGTCGGGCGTGTGAGGGGTTCTCGCTGTGCCAACTAAAGAGAACGTTGAAGGCTACTGATTCGAGACTAGTTACGAGTCCGAATCGAAGTCATCTCCATTGTCCTGTCCACTGCGCTTTCGTGTCTTATTCCCCACACTAATGTTTGAAGCATCGCACAGCCGGATGACCGCAAACCGTTTCATGCATCAACACACAGAACGGCAATAGAGCGCCAAATATGCGAAGTGTGTCCATATCCGCACAAACGGACGGCGCTCGCTCCCGTCCCACCACGTGCTGCCATAGACAATGCGATTCATTAGACGCCAGAGCAGAAGTACTTTTGTGCTCGTTCTCAGGTTACTGTCGTCTCCAACGAGATTCTTCCCTTTGTCCTTGCCCAACTACCGTTGCTGTATATATGTTTAGCCTCAATAGCACCCAAACACATCTCCGTTTGGGTGCCCACGGTCGACCTGCTGCCCCATTGTATTCACCCCGGTCGACAGCCAGATCTCCATAATGCACGCACAGCGATTATGTTCGTCAATCACGAAGAAGGGTATAAAGTGGTGCTCCCTAGCTTGCTCATTTCCCTGCGTTCTGCCATAAGTCTCTCGATCGGGCCTCCTCTCTCTAGTCTTGTAAATATCTGAATCGTCTGCGACGATAACTATCCTATCCTGCTCTAGTCCTGCCATTCAGCACTCGAACTACTGGCACCCTCAACCCTCAGCCTACTATCTACACTATACTGTCCTACTATTACGTCAATGGCTACTCGCGCCGTCGCTATCACCTTCATGTCCCAGGAGCAGGCCCGGTACGCTCCGTGCAGCTCATTCGTCGTCCAGCCAAAGCTGACCTCGTTATTTCTCTAGCATGTCCTTGGGCAAGCACATCGAGCGCCGCATCATCTGCGCCTGGAAGGCCCTTAGTCGTCGGAGCCGTAGGCGTCAACGCGCCTCCATCCTCCCAGAAGGCTTCGTCCTCCTCACCGCCGCCCGCCGTCGCAGCATGCGCTTCGTCTAAGCGCCCCTGATGGCGCATGGCTGGTCCCTCCATCGCCATGTAACTTCATGTTCTCATGCCGTATCGACTGCGACAGTCCCCTTGACTCCAGAGCTAGATGCTCTTATGCACGTGTGCATGCCTTTGACGCAGGGACATTCATGACACTGTACCCTATAGTTTATGCACTAATACCTAGACATTGGATTCCGATACCAGCTCTCCACGAGATACCATATGTAGCCTCCCCCCTCCCTCGACGCTGCTTACGAGCTGTACCATTGAACGGGACTTTGTTGCTGTATCACTCTGATCTCATGTAGCGTTTGGTGTGCCAGTAATTTATACATTGTTATCTCTCGCTGCACTCCTGATTGTCAGGACATTTGGGTTGTCTGCACAACTCCTCTGTTGGAAGATAAGTCGTGCCTACAAGAAATAGCATAGGGACGAGACGTGATACATAATGCGTCCATTCGAGACATCGACTATGATACATCTAGGCAGCGTTATACATTCGAGAAGTACCAGCTTCTATCCGTTCACTTATACGGGTATATACAATGAGACCGGGAAGTGCGCAATTGACAGCAGGTGATGTAGCGAAGCAAATCCAATTCAGTCTGGCCTAAAACACGATGGCCTGATGGAGAGGAGAGTTTACCAAAACCTGGAGGAGAAATGATGGAAATCGTTTCAAAGTGAGTTTAGAGCAGAACGTACCGATGCCGGGTGAGCTTAGAAGTGTCAGAAGCGTCAGATGACATTGCCTCTCCCGCAACAAACTGAAGCATGAACTCACGAACGCCATCATGCCAGACTCGAGAGCCTCTCCCTGGATGCGAGAGCTCTTCAGAGCAGCTTCCGCACCACAATGTTTCTTGCGAAGGATATCGCGCTCTCCGGCGAGCACTTCGTTTTGCTGAATGACCTCGCCCAACTGCGCCTGTGTGTCGGCTTGCACGATCATGGAATCGTCTAGATGGTCCTTGAGGCGCTCAGAGCGCTCTCGATGGGCCGCCAAGGCCGCGTTGGTCGCCTGAAGCTCAGCGTGCTTCTCACGCAACTGAACTCCTTGCTGTTGTAAGCGGAAATCCCTTTCTTGCAACGCGGCATTGCTCCTCTGAGCCTAAGAACCAAGCCCGATAGTCACCGAGCTCGATGAATCTTAAATAGCTGACACTTACCTCTTCGCATATTCTGTCCACGAGCTTCTTGGCATCATTGGCAAGTGCTTCGATCGCCGTCCGCCCCGAGGCAGTTGAAGGGCCCCAACTCGAAGAAGCCGCTGGGTCGGAAGGCCCCTTGTCGGCAGTCTCTGCTGGGCTGATCCCTGCGCCTCCGAAAGGCAGGTCGTCCCCAGCGGTGAGATCAGGCTGAGGAAATCTTGCGTGCGAAGCCTCGCGGGGCAACTGGGCGGTCGTTTGTGGAGGAGTGAGGTAGCTGAGAGCCGCTTGTAGACGCACTGGCGTGCGAGGAGGAGCGGCACTGGATAAGCATGCATACGACACGTAAGCCGCGATTCAGAAGAATAGTTGTGTTCGCTTACGCCTGAGGACGGGACGGGCCCTCCGAAGGAACAAAGTCATCGGGAGCAAAATCCATACTGTCATCGAGCTCCTCCATTACAACGTCTGAGATGTCAGTCGGGGCTAAACTGGCGCCCCGCTCTCCATTGCTTGGGGTGCCGGGCATGAACGGTCGTGCGTCCCGCGCACGAATGCGTTCTAAGAAGAGCTGAGAGCATGGAGAAGTCAGCGCGCGAACCAACAGTCAATTAAAGGTCCTCTACCTGGTTCTTCGTCGGCGACTTAGCTGCGCCAACTCGTTTCACCATCGCCTGGCCTAGCAAGGTCGGATGAGCATCAGGAGGCAGGGTCCGTCGTATCTCCTTTACACTGTGTACAAAGTCAGTAGAGTAGTATACAACCAGGTAATAAGGACTTACGCCGTCGCAACGAGAGGAGCAGGTTTGAACTTCGGCTCGCCATCTACAAACGGTCGGGTCACGAGTTTGCCATTATGCTCCTGTGATGTGGAGAACGTCTGGTCAATCCTAAAGATGTCCGCTGAAGGATTTGTGCATGCATACAAAACTGTAAATGGTCCCCTCGTAACAATTTCTGGTCGTCTTTGGTCTCGTGGTTTCTATCCCGATATCCGCTCTCGTCTGTTCCACTGGGCGAACACCAGGTCAGTCGCAAACGCCTAATCGATCAAGTCTGCAGACCAACGTACTGCATGACACTGCATGGCCTAACGTGAAGGAGCCGCTGCCGTTCCGGCACAGAAACGCGTGTGCCACTACCACAGCTAAATAAGACAGGCGTCGGAATGAGACAAACAAAGGACGTACTGTGCTGGCCAGTCGGCTTTCCGGGCGTCGTGTTCTTACGAGCACCAGACTTCCTCGGAGAAGTAGACTTGCTTTTCTTTGCTGGACTTGATTTTTTCGACTTCACCATACTGACAATCCTCCCTGACCTGAGGGAGGCGATATAGAAAGAGTCTCAGAGGGAGGAGTATAGCTCAAAGCAAGCATATTTAAGGATAGCAGCAGAGCATCGCCAATACTAAGAGGAATGGCGACAAACAAAGGTATGTAGTTTGTCAGCATTGATTTTCCCTTCTCGGGGCTTAGCGCCGGCCGGCTGGGGTCCGGGGCATTGGCCAATGCCCGTCGTGATGGCAGCGAAAAGCGATGTAATTAGCATTACACTACAATGGTGTATATCCATAGTGAATGCTTCACCAAGGGCCGATTGTCCGGATAAGCAACGAAGGGGGTATCAACAAACCTTAGTCCAAAAGTCCCTAGATAATGAAATGATCCGCCCAATGGCGAAGAACGCCCTCACCCTGCTTGTGGCCCGGGAACCGCTTCACATCCCTCGAGATAATTACCGCATGCGAGTTCCGCACCGGATGGATGAATGCCAGCTCCTTCTTCAGGCCTGGCAGCGTGTTCAGCCACCCCACGATCTTCTTCTGGACGTCTGCCAACACCAAGTCTTGCTTCTGCTCGGCCTGCGTTCTCGCCGCCGCGTCCAAGTCGGCCTCCGCGTCTGCGAGCGCCGCGGGGGTGGCGGTGGAGAGCGGCGGCTGGGAGGATTCCACGTCGTATGAGCTGCCGGGTGCGTCGAGCATGTCGACGGCGACGGCTTCCATCTCGCGCTCGAGGCGTCCGATGACGTGCACCAGGCGCTCCGTGTTCGATTGTTCCGAGTCCTTCTCGAGGAGCTTGATCCGCGCGCGGGACGCACGCGAAGCGAGCGCAAAGCGAGTGATGACCAGCGAGAGCACCAGAGGAATGAGGATAGGCGTGCTGAGAATCAGGAGCTGTGTAGCAGGCAGGCGTGAGGAGAGAAAGAAAGAATAAAGCAGGCTTCTTACGCACAATGTTGAAGGGGAAGGCAAACTGAAGCGCGGGAGGTAAGAGAGGACGTTCTGGCTTCAGACTCTTGAACCATTGTGGGGTGAATACACGCGGCTTGGGGCGCGGTTCAACTACGGTAGATGGGGTATAAGACCTGAGTATAGGGGAATATTTTTCGTCAAATTCTCTACACCAGGACGAAGCATGAGAACTAGGCTGGAAAGGACGAGAATGAGAAGGATGCACATTTTGATTCCGTTAAAGGCGTGCTCCAGGAAGGGATCTTCTAATTCTATCGCGGCGGTGACATAAGGCACAGTGACATCGTTCACTGCGTTTGCATAGAAGCGGACTTGCTCAAACCGCGTCAAGGCTTGGTAGAATATGCGATCTAGCAGGACATCAGAAGGTGTACCGAGAAGGACTACGCATACGAGACGTACTCGGATCGGCCATGACCTCGAGGAGCGGTCGTCCGTTCTTCGACCACTTGTCCACCTGATGTGTCATGAAGTATAAGCCAAGTCAGATGAGCAATAGACGACTATGCACGTACAACGTAGAATTGCTCTCCCGTCCTTGACAAGAGCTTTGGCCCCAAAAAGGCAAACACGCCCGAGACGAACGTGCGGTATCGGGGGAGGCCAATATGAGGAGTGGCAAGGGTATTGAAGTTAACAGGCGTAACGTTCTCAAAGAATCCTCGCTGGTGCAGGATACTTCACAAGCCATCAGCACGCACGATTAAACAGTATACAATTGTGAGCAACCTACCCAACGACGTATCTTGCAATGAGCCCGCCGAGGCTGTATCCAGTCACAGAAAACCTCGTAACCTTCTTCTCATCTTTCTCGAGCTTCTTGACCTCCTCGAAGATCTATCCGCGATGTCCCACATCGCCCACCAGCACCCACAGAGCTTGATGAATACTACAAGTCGGGCATTGGCAAGCCTGACTGATACTCACCTCCTCAGCAACCCGCTCTCCTCCCCAGTCGATGCCGTCGTATGTCCCATCGTCCCGGTTCGTCTCAGCCAAAAGGATCTGAAGTCGCTCGCCCTGCGGTCCCCTCTCGGAGTCTAGCTGTCCACGTTTCTCCTCCATGATCCGGCGCATCTCCGCGAGATGAGATGGGTTGCCCCACATGCCATGGATGAGCACGAGCAGGTGGATGCCTTGGGAATCGTCGGAGTCAACCTCGGAGCCAGACATCGTCGTAAGTGCAGACTGTTGGGGACAATGGTGGTAACTAGTGATCTATGACTCCAAGGACAGTCTAGGGAGGATGAGACGAGGGGGAGATGAAATGAAAGCAAGCCGGTGGGGGATACGGAAACATATATGAAGGCTGTGGGTAAGAGAGCATTATGGGGGGCACGGTCGACAAACCGGAATGACGCGTTCTCCTGGCATCACGTACTTACTGCGGCCGCGCGCTACATCGACGACATGCATTGCCGGTCGGCATATAGCCGCACTTAAGTACAAATACCTCCATTCAGCAGGTGCAACGCCAGAATATGTAGATTTGCATCGGTTGTGCTTTAGGAACAGACTCGATTCAAGATGGTCGAGTAGAGATACACCATAAGTACATGGAAAGGTACATGTAGACAGAGAGAGAGAAGTAGTCGTGAAGCCGTAGCAAGAAGACGTTCCGATGAGAATGCAGGCCAAGCATGAGGATTGGCACAGAACCGGTCTCTACACAGGTACGCAGTCAGGTCGGAACAGCCCCATTCACGATTGGTACTGTAGGGTGCCTTCGTGAGTCGCGCAGAACCAAGCTAGCAAAGACTCATGGACTTGCCTGGAAGAGCATCGACGTTGCCCAGGGCTGCAGGAGAGAATCGGGGCCAAGGTACGACCACGAGCTCGTCCTCGAGAAGCTCTCCTTGTACCTGTGTAGACAAGAATCAAGCCCCCATGAGTACTTGTAAACCTAATACAGGCGATCGAGCTTACCGCTTGAGCGTGCCAGAGCGTCCAGGTGCGCGAGAAGCACCCTTAAAGCTGTACACGGCACGGACCATTTGCACGATCATCTGGTAGGCTGTGTCAAGCATTTCGCAGTTTTACGGAAGACAGAGCCAATCACCTTCGAGGACAGGTCCAGACCGAGACACTTCCCAGCACCGTCGATCACCAGGTACTTGTGGAAGCCGCGCGCAGGGTTGACGTCCTTGGGATCTGTGAAGATGTGGCTCTGTATTCGGATGATGAGGAGTAGCTCCTTGGAAGCAGTGGCACACGTACGCTGATATTGGCGGCTGATACGTCCACGAAGACGCGTGTCTTGGCCTTGAGCGTTCCCTGGCTGACCTTGACGTCGTGAAGAACCTCGCGGTACACGCCCCGGAACGTAGGGTCAAGGCCTAGTAGGTGCTTTAGCCCCATCATAACCACAACCTTCACCATAACTCACGAAGCGCCTCAAGCACGAAACCTTGCAACGTCGCCTCATCCTTGGCATCCAATGAAGGCGACTTAGAAACCAACGTCTGAACATCTGAAGGCTTGCTCGGGTCCAAGTAGAAGTTAACGACGTTTACCGCAGCTGTATATTATCCCTTCGGTAACTCGACATTCAAGGACGTCGCACATTTGCGCACCTTGTGAGAGCTCGACAGTCGCGCCGACCAATAGCGCAAGGGTGGCGTTCGTCTGGGTGTCAGCATCGTAGCCCAATGCGCGCAGACGTTCCGTGAACGAAGCCCGCTCGCTCTTGCTCGGCTTCCCGAACATGCTCCCAAACAGGTTCATAATCGAGAGCTGTCAACCCATAGACAACGTCAGCCCGAACTCTCCGGCGTACATGCAGCTTCCGATGAACGTACGCGCGAGCCTCCCAGTTGCCTGCGGATGATGGTAGACAACTTTTCAAGGTTCTGAGCAGTGTTGATGCGCAGGTTGTGGAGCTTCGCGGGCTCGACGTCCAGGAAGAGGTAGCTGTAGGTGTCCGCGAGGATGTCGAACAGTTCGGAGGGCGTGTAGTCGCCCTCGCTGTCCGCACTTGTCTTCAGACGAACTCCGGCCTGCAAACAATCTGATGAATACGATCCGTGAGCTCCAATCAGTGAGAGTACGACTGACCAATTCGGCAGCCCAGTAGATCGGGACCAGCTTAAGCACATCCCTGACGAGGTCGACGGTGTGCGTGGAGGTGCCCACAGACTGGCAGGACTCGCGCTGTATGAGCTCCCGCGTCTTTTCGTAGAAGAATGTCTTGATGCCGGACTCTGCGTCGGGGGCGCCAGTGAGCGCACCGAGCAACTCGCGCTGGTAGCGCGCAGCCTGCGCAGGGTCGTTGCAGGCGATGAAGAACCTACCCGCATACCATCAAACCACTGTTCATGCCTATGAGATCAATACAGGGAGCCGCTCACCCATCACCCTTCAAGATAGCCTGGACTCTCTCCCCGAAGCCGGGTCCGAAGTCCTTCTCGTCCTTAAGCACGTTCTTCGCGTCCTCGTACCCGGCCAGAACGGGCGGCTCCGCGACCTTCCTCGGCTTCTCCAAGCTATACAACTTAACCTGGCCCAGCTTCGTCAGGATGCGCTCCATCGCGGGAGGCGTCATCAGCGGGAACCACGCATAGGTGCTGTCTGGCGCGTACTGTTCGGGCAGCGTGCGGAGGAGCAGCCGGCCGAGCATGCTACCGCACCCGGGGGCTAAGGGATCACGCTGGCAGTCCGCGAAGCCCCACGCTGTCATGTTGAACGGGGTATAGTCAGCGGTGTAGAAGCGGTCTCCGCGGGTCAGCGCAATCGCATCGCTCAGGATCGCGCGGGAGATCGTGTATGCTGGATGGGCGCAGACGCGGATCGACTGTCAGTGCTTCGTATCTCACGAGGAGCAGGATAGCGGCGACTCACATGGGCACAGGCCGGCGCCCTCGACGACGGGCTTTGCCTCCTCCGCCTGGAGACCGACGTACAGCTCGAGGCGATCGATATGACCATAGAGTTTCTCGGCAGCGCTCGCAATCTCGGGGTCCGGGTTCCACTCAAGGAAGCTCGAGTATGCTAGTGCATCTCCAATGATTATGACTTCTGACGGCACTGATCAATACTCACTCTTCAGACCGAGGAACTACGGGACCGATTTTTGTCAGTTTAGCGCAAGCTTGAATACCGACTGGTGCCGGATACCCACCTTCCGGAAGTCATTCAGGGAGCAGACGCCCCATTGGCGGTTCTGCTCAATCCCCATGATCTCATGAAGACGCATGCAATGCGGAGTGCCGCGAGCCTTGAACGCTCCAGCGGGTTCCTCGGTACTGCGGCGTCCAGTCAGAAACTATGGGCATAGTCGCGTCGTTCCACCACTCACGCTGCGATTAGCACACCTGCGAGCGCTTCGTCGCTGAACTGGCCCGACGTCGAATCTCGCTGCAAGCTGGAACGGATGCGCGAATGATCAGAATAAAGTCGCAAAGCGCCGAAATAGAAGCCGACTCACTTCCCGAAAGTCCAGTGCGACACGTCTGGCTCCATAGCCTGCACCTCCTTCGCAAGATTGCGGAAGTCCTGAACGGAGAGCTGCGCGGAGGTCAGCGACACCAAGCGCAAGTCGCATGCTCCACTCACCGAGTCAACGGAGCGCCCTTTGAAGAGCTGCTCGCCCATCTTCGCGACCCATTCCTCGTCAGCCTTAGAAGTGGTCGCATGCCACCGGTACAAGCAGTTGAACTGACGACTGCTATCAACAATTGCGCCCCTGGTCGCATGCGAGGCGCGCTCACCTCAACACTGCAAGCGTTCCCCCGCCCGCGCTCAAACAGCGAGTGATCGGCATTGCGCATCTCCTCGAACGGGTTGAAGGCCCAACTGCTCCCCTGACGCACCAAGCCCAGGATGGCACAGAAGTAATCTGACATGACTATGCCTGCGAACCACGCGCAGTTGATCAGACGCGTCGTCTGGAAGATGTCCTCCTCCTGGGCCACGAGCTTCGCCGCGCGCTGGGGATCATCGGCAGAAATCGTGTCTGGGTCGACGTACGTCCCGCGCTCGTTGAGCTCGAGGAGCTTCTTAGCGATATACTGCACAGACGCGCGTCAGCCACACAGATCCCACGCGGAGGAATGGAAGCGGGGATATGATATCAGGTGGAGGTGCTTACGTTGTGATTCCGGTTGAAGAGCGTTAGGAGCACACAGACGGCGGGGGGCAACAATAGCAGACGGTCCTCGGCGAAAGTGTCAGGGTGGAGAAGCCCGCGCCCGTCCCGGACGCGGATCTTGTCTTGAGTCTTTTGATCGTTCCCGTACAGAGGCGCGAGGTCGACGTACGAAGACGTCTCATTGATGTGGACGTCCTTGTGAGACGTGCGGAACACACTGACGAGCGTGCAACGTTAGTAGAAGCCAATACACGCCGTGTTCTATGTAGAAGTTAGGCGGAGACACTTACGTGTGAATTACGAGCGCAGCAAACGCAAACATCAGGCTCGACAGGCCGGCAGGATGCGGTACGAACTGCGAAATGAGCGTGAGGTCTCGTTCATTACTCGAAGATCGTAATCAGGCCGACCTTCTCCCGCCTGAGCAATGTATCAAACACGAGTCCAGCATCTGGAAGCTCGTTGCGCGGAAGTGGGTGGATCTGTTGCACGCTGCGTGAATAAGGGGTACCGGCTTTTCCCAAGTCGGGTATGGAGGGATTGTTGTTGCCGCCATCGGCTTCGCGGTAGGCATACGTGGGGCCGATGATAGTTTCCGGTGGGTGAGGAAGATCTTCGTACACTGCAAGTAGAAGCGTGAGAAACAAGCGCACTCACATGCAGAAGCGGACTGCATGCATACGCAGTTTAATGAGCCCGGTCTGCAACTTCTGCGCTGCAGGGTGTTCGGAGTTGTTCGACAAATAGACCAGGGTGTGCTCCAGCTGAGGCAGATTCAGTGACGAGATCAGTCTCATATCAACCCGAAACCCACAAGCAACTTCCGATCATCGATCGAGTTCAGGTGTGTAATGCCGTCAATGATGCTTTCCTGAGATCACTGTGAGTAATGTTTATTGACTAGACGAAGCTGAAACTCACAATAGTAGAAAGATCTGAGGCGAAGGGCAGATGCTTCCGAACCTGTGGGCAGTCCCTGTTAGACCTCACCAGGATCCTGACAGACCAAATGGCTAGTTCACCTCGTCGCGGAACTTGTCAAAGCCCTTCATGGTTTGCGGCGCGCGTGACAGGTCTTCCCCATCGCTGCTCTGTGACCGCTGGGTGAAGGAGCGAGACAATTTGTAGGGGAATGTAGCCATAGCGTGAGAGGGAGACGATGCGTGGCCTGAGGGCCAAACGCTGTACCACTACACCCATCTTATATCAGGATAGAATAGACGCATGCGCACGGTCGAGCGGAACTCAAGCAGACAGCAGGCGAGCACACGCGTCTTGAAGGACACGTCACGGACTCGGTCGCGGCATACCGCATTAGTTTGTGAGTGCCTAAGACGTCGAGTACGATGCAAGCCGTGAATAACGGCGGGCGCGATTGCCATTCATCGGACGCCCCCACTTGGCGAAGTGGACACGATACAAAGGACATCAGCCATTTGACAGCTGGAACGGGAGAAAGAACGGCTGACGTTCGCTAGCGGGGCCTTCTGGATGTGATTCTTGATCAAGTGACAGTCGCCGCAAAGCATGGAAGCTGCTTATAACTTCGTACCTTCTCGCCTGGGCGCCCATGAGGCGCACGGCCCAGCAGAGTTTGTCCACCTTCTCAGGCAACGCGATCATTGCGTGTCAACCGCCAGAGAGTTGTTCGGCCTTGCGTACGGACCGCGAACGATCGAGGCTGGCTACGAGGAGTCCTGAATCTGACTCTTGTGGCATCTGTCAGTTAGTACGCTAGGACATTAATTCGTACCTGAAATGTTCGCACCCCATTACAGCCTGAGTAGATCTCGGTCAGTGGTGGGCCGCTCGTGAAATTTGCATCGCAACCTCGTAATCTGCCAGCCTCCGTACATCAGTGTAGCTATGTTGCGCCCATAAGTCACCAGATATAGCACGGTTTGTCATATTCGCCGACGCAGTCGGAGGATACGCTCGCAGGACATTTGACAGCAAGTAGGATACACTCCTGAAGAACTGAAGTTCTCCTGGCAGAGCATAGACGCTGTGGCTCCAAGCGCACGTGTTTGGCGCCCATCCCCGGACTTCACAGCGATTTTCATCATGAACTGAACACACCGGGTGCAGTCACCTGTGCATTAATTTGCGGCTTCCCAGCCACTGCATGGAGGTCCAACTAGAAGCAGGGTTTTGCTGGTGAGAAAATCACCTATACATTATTCGGTGATAGGACGGCGTCTGGCCGCTCAATGTTTCAGCTGCTATAATCCCGACTCCCGAGCTTTACGGCACCAATCAGCCGCAGAAGCTTCAACTTGAAGGACAAGCCACTGCTCTGTTCTCGGTAAGTCCTCTTACCGTATCAATACAAGGCTTTGAACTTCTATGCTGACTGAGATAGCAGATTACTCAAGTGTCAAGACGATATATCGCCTGCCAATGATCAGGTCCAAACGGGGACAGGACTCATTTCATTAGACTCTGATCTGAAGCATCGGTCGCCTCCATATGTCTCAAGATACGCCAATGCGAGATCGCTATCGGAAAGGCCTCAACTGGCTATGGATTGACACACGTTGCAACAACGAGACAAGCAGCGCCGAGTTGTCCGAGGTAATCAATTGCGTGTACGCCTAATACGCCGCGTACGCCAACGCCGCCGTGCGTATGTTATGCGTTCCTTCACGTTATCAACGATAATTAGGAGCCGGCCGCTCAAAGCGAGTAGTTACGTGCATCTTAGTCGGCACGAGGCTGCAGCCAGTGATGAATTTTTTGGGACGTTGCAAGAGCTGATCACCCCAAGGAGAATCGTTCAGGTCCACAGCTCTTGCATAGGCGCTCGGGAGAGAAGTTCTGGTGCAACTCATTGAGAAGAACACCGGAATTGGTGCAGTTATCCTCATGCACTTCCGACCGCCCGAGTAAGTCAATGGATGCGCCCGATCGGCAGTGCTTCGAACTGCTCACAATGGCACCTTAGACAGCCCAGTATCGCACGACTTGAACGCATGCGGCAAGCGGCTACGATGAAGACAGTTAGAGAGGAAGACGAGCGAGTTCCTTGGCTGGAATCGTCGGTGTCTACGTCCGAGCCAGATACTGTACAGTGGAGGCAGGGAGGGACGCATCTTTTCGGCTGTAGGAGGAGACCCCGATGCGTCTTCGAATCAGGGTGGTATCGGAGGTTCTCTGGTCTGAGTCTACTCATATCCTCCCGATGCATTCTTGGCATGCCAGGCGATCTTGGCGATCTCGCCGTTTCCTTACCAAGAGCCCATCATGTCACCCGTTGAGGCCTCTAGAGTATCGCCTGACAACCCATGGGATATGATTTTGAAGTACCACCCGTTGACCTGGGTAGACACAATGCCTCGAAAGGGCTCGTTGTCCTCACAGTCCCTGCTTGTCGGAATGAACGTGGCGGACCCCCTACGCTTCTAGCCCCATTCGGACCATCCATGATTCAATTATACGGGCCTCCCTCTCAGCCAGCCAGTAGTCACAAAAATAGTGATTGTATACTTTGCTCATGCTTTGCACCAGCTTGGCCAATGAAAGTCGAAAGTCGAAAGCTGAGAGCTTGATTTCAGGGATCGATTGTGATACAGCATCGATTGGAGAATGCTCTCTTATCATGGTACAGTAGCAAGTGACTTCTCCGTAGTATGTGACCTTACGCAGTCTCCTGAGGATGGACAATAAGTTTGGTCCCACTGACTTGGTTGTTCCTCAACTTCTCCACGCCAGAGAAAGCCCCCGCCAAGCCTCCAGGAAGGACTTCTGCCTTAAGCGGCTGTAAGGAACGGCGAGTCGTTCATCGCTTCGATTGATCAGGTACAACCGCTGAGTGCCCACCTTGATTTCACCCGACTCGAGGTAGGCTGTGATCGCCTTGAACAGGTCGAGGTTGAACTGAGGGTCTTGCTGAAGGCGGGCAGCGACGGGCGCGAACGTGACTGTCCGGCCCTCCGTCTTCTCCTTTATGCTGTCGAGGAGGATGATGAAGAGCCGGCCGCCAGGCGCGAGGAGCTCGTATCCGAGAGTCTGTGTCTCCGGGAGCGAGACGGGGTCGAAGACGAAGGAGGGGGAGGCCGCCGATGATCTTCTTGACCTCCTCGCGAGTAGCATCCACAGAGAGGTTGCGGTCGAGGACGTGCGTCGCACCGTAAGACTTGAGGAGCTCGGTGTTCTTGAGCGACGCGGTTGTGATGATGGGCGAGAAGCCGGAGAGCCTGCCCCATTGGATGGCTGCCGAGATGCGTATGTTAGATTCATGCACAGACATGGATAGGCAAGGGCGAATATACCTCCTGAACCGATCACGGATGAACCGCCAATGATCACGAGCGGCTGGCCAGCGTATTTGCCTTTGCCACCCTCGGCCCACGGTGGGACGTACTCGCCAGCGCCAGGCTGGCTGTAGAGGGCGACGGCAGAGGACACAAGCGCAGTTGGGAGGGTAGCCGCTTCATCGAAGGAAATCCCCTCGGGGATCTGATGTTCGCAATATCGAGTAAGCTGCCGACAACGTCTAGACAGTCAGAGATCTAACCTTAGCGACATTTTGGGGGTTGCTCAACGTGTATTGTTGGTACGCCGCCCAGTCGTTGATCACCGCAATCGCTCTGTATAACACTCGGTCGCCCTTCTTGAGGTCGGTGACTCCCTCACCTCAATCGTCCCAGCGCCTTCCGACCCTATGACGGCGGGGTAATTTGTGACGAACATGCCGAAGTCCTGCGTCTTCCAGTCGATCGGGTTAAGGCTGCTCGTCTCGTTCTTGATGAGGAGCTCGCCGGGCTTGGGAGTTGGAACGTCACGGTCGCGAACGGCAAATTGACCATGCTTCTCGAGGAGAAAGAAAGCCTTCTGTTTGGTGAAGGTTGACATTGCTCTGGGTTTGTGGAAGTGAGGAGTGGTTTACAAGGTACAGGAGGTATGATAACGTGGAGATTCAGCTACCACCCGAGTGCACCTTTTATCGACCTTCGCAGATGCGGAGCGGAGGTTACATGTCCTCTCTGCCGAACTACATCCGCCATGCTTCGTTCTATGACGTGATCTGACATGTATGTAGATGTATGTAGTGTAGTTAGACATGGCATCCAGAGCTCTCTCACATCTACATGATCGTACTCACAGTCCGAATCAACATCCATAAGTAGTAGATAACAAGGAAAATCCGATTTGGAGTGATCGTCTGAGTAAGCATCATCAGTGGCTATGCATTATGCGTAATATGACGAAGCCTTCGCCCTGCCATCCGTCCCAGAGCGGCCTACGTATCAGGGACCAGTGCTGTCCGCGTCAAAGTCAATGCGTCAATGCGTGTCAATGCTATCGACCGACCCCCTACTGTAGTGTTGCCGCGAAGTGAGGTCACTTCACGTCAATGTGCACCTTGCCTTGAGCGGAGTATGAAAATCGACCATCAAGGTCGCTTTGAGGTCAGCTCAAGGTAAGTCAAGGTCGCTTCAAGGTGTGGACTCTCGGCGGCTCCAAGTATCCGCTGTCGGGCCGACTGGTACGATGCGCTTCATCTGGTCACGTGCCGGACTGCGACGTGTTCTCCTCTCCTCGTTCCCGCCAGCCTGCTTTCTCCCATCAGCTGCACGCACTTCAACCATGTCTCTTGATGTTGTATGTTCTCTCTTGGGTCATTTAGAGCTCACCAAACGTTTCCTAGGTATTTATCTTATGCATGTGTAACGTAGATGATGAGCAGCAATGCAATGTTTGGTCGAAGAGCAGAGTCCGGAAAGGCATAAAACACATACCAGGTAGTGAGTAGAAGCATCTCTCCTTTCCCATGTTAATCCACGGCTGTGCTTCCTGCGGTGCGAGAAATCTTGCACAATGCAGCTGCCAAACCTCTGAGCTTCTGCAGCCCACTGCTCCCCTTCCCTCTACATCAGGAAAACGTCACGGACTTGTACAGGTACTTGGGGTACTTGACCAAGTACCTCAAGTATCCCAAGTACCTCAAGTACCCCAAGTCCAATGGACTTGGCCAAGTCGGGTGGGTCGACTTGGCCAAGTACCAGGTACTTGGCCAAGTCCTCCAAGTCCCTGTTCAAGTTCATGCCCAAGTTCACTGTGAGATGTATTGAATAATAAAGATGATATGCATGGAAGTAAATCATAGAACAGCTGCTCTTGATCAAGGTCAAGTGTACAATATTTGTTAGTGGGTGCAGCGGCGGCAAAAAAAATGCCACCACAGGAAATTGAACCAGCAACCTGCAATTTCAGTGTCCAACACAGCATGTTCAACCACTACACTACAGAAGCTCACACTGTAGTGCAGAATAGCAGCCATATATAGCGCTCTTTGCTGGACTTCGAGAAATTCTTCACCATCCTCACCTGTACCATAGCAGAACTTGGACATCCACCACTGATACCACTATTCTTGAGCATTATCTGGATATTGTACCTCTGTATCACTACTGAAACAAGCACATTGTAACAACTTAAAGTCTTCTATCACATGTTATTGCCCTTCTTCTAATAGACTATAAAGCTGCTTCTACAGCCTTAAAACAGACTGGTTTACAACTAGTGTACGGATGTCTATGATAGATATTATTACATAAGAAGTATACAAGATGTGTGACTGATAG